GAGCTCAAAATGTAGATCAAGTTGGCTGCAATCTCACAGAAATCTGCCTGTCTCTCCCTCCCACGTGCTGGGATTAAAGGTGTGTGCCATCATGCCCAGCCCAATAATAGTTTTAAATAACTTTAAAAAACATTTTAAAAGCCGGCATGGTGGCACATGCCTGTAATCCCAGCACTTTGGAGGCAGAGGCAGGCGGATCTCTGTGAGTTCAAGGCCAGCCTGGTCTACATAGTGAGTTCCAGGCCAGCTGGGGCTACAGGGAGACCCTATCTCAAAAAGACCAAAAAAAAAAAAAAAACATTTTAAAGCATTTCAATATAGTGCTTCACAAAACCCTGCCTCACACAACAGCTACCTACCTCCACCCAGTCAACCTGCCAGATCTTGAGTCATCCTTAGGCTTCTAATTTTTTATGTACCCCCACCCCCAATACCACCTCCAGACAGTCAGTCACCATCTTCTGTCAATCTTAAATCTGAGATGGAGAATGTCAAATGCATAAAGCGGACATGCATGAAACACATGAACCAGCAGGGAAATGACAAATTAGACAGCATATACTCTTTCATATGTTTGTTGTTTTTTGAGACATTGCCCAGGATGGCCTGGAACTTTCTATGTCCCTGAAGTTTGTCTGGATCCTCCTGCCTTCATCCTCCATGTGCCAGGATTAGAGGCATGTGCCACCTCACCCAGAGGTGAAGCACTATTCAGCCTCAGGAGATACAAGCAGAAGTTCAGGGCTGATGGTGTCCAATATTCAGACTTTCCAAGTGCATACAGAAATCTGGACTTTTATGGGGAATATACTAATTTTTGAAACAAAGTAAGGGCTGGATTATAATATATTTACTGGATAAATTCAGTGTGTTTACCAGTCTTCACCTCTGTTTTTATTTATTTTATTCACTTTTGGGGGGGGGTCTTTTTGAGACAGGGTCTCCCTGTAGCCCCAGCTGGCCTGGCACTCACTATACAGACCAGGCTGGCCTTGATCTCACAGAGATCCTCCTGCCTCTGCCTTCTAAGTGCTAGGATTAATGTGCCACCATGCCTGGCTTCACTTATTTATTTTTTGATATAGTCAGGCTGGTCCCAAACTTCTAAGAGATCTGCCAGCCTCTGCCTCCTGAAAGCTGCGATTAAAGGCATGGTACACCATGCTCAGTTGGGTTAACCTCTATTTTTAAAATCTTTGCTCCCTTGCAGGGGTCTTAGTTCATGCTTATAATCCTGGACTAGGAAGACTAAGGCAGGGATATTGGAAGTTGGAGGCCAGCTGGGTTACAGGGACAGAATGGGTCTCAAAAAGTCAAGAAACAAAAGAAGAGAGGGAGGAAACAGGATCCCTGCTCCCTTGCTGGGCATGGTGGTGCAGGCCTGTCATCCCAGCACTCTGGAGGCTGACGAGAGAAGACCACCGGCTTGCATGAAGCCAGGCTGTATACCTACTCCCAGGCCTGTCTCTGTACCTCCTTGCTCTCACCTGGCAGGATGACTTTTCCCTCTCTTCACTCTCTCTACTCTGCTTTCGTCTTTCTAGACTGGCCTCTCCCTTCACTTCCATCGCCTCGGAAGTCTTTCTCAGCTCTAACATCCGCTCAGTGCTATTAGCTGGACACTGCCTCCTGTCTTCTACAGCACTCAGAGCTCACTAAGTGCACTTATTATTTATAACTTTATTTACATGTCCCTATGCTATCAAGCTGGGTTCTTTGAAGTCAGGAATTTCAGCTCAGCCTAATTTTTGCCACTGCTGTGCCTGATAAGTGGCCCATCCATAAATGCTTACAAAATAAACAAAATCAAACTGTATGATCCAGTCAGGTTGAAGGCCAGTTCAGATTCTGGTTATCTAGAGTTGCTACCAAGATGTAAACACAATCTCTCTTTACAACTTCTTAACTATAACACCAGTAAACTTACAATAATCTCTACAACCAGGAAGTTGTCATCAGCCAAACAAGTTAATAACCAAAACAGCAGAAACCAACTGCATGAAATTACATTCTTGAAACTAAGCAAGATATTTCTCAGAATTATTTCTTCTCTGAAGCAAAAGGATATACTTTGTCACTAGCTGCTACACTGTACATTAAAACTATGCCTTCACTAGGTCTGACTAAGCAAACCACAATAGCAGTTTAACCCATAAATAAGTAGGGAAGTCCTTCAGCAACAAATATCTGTCCCATATGAACAAAAGGAAAGGGGAGGAGCAATGGGTAGAGGAGAGGAATAAGCCTCATGAGGGTGAATTCTTCAACATAAGTGTCCAATTATGTTATTAAGCAATGGAACACAAGTAGGTTGGCATCTTCACATTCAAAATAAGACTTCAAAGGTAGCCTTTCTGTACCCACACCTTTTACTATATTTAAAATGCTTTCTAAGCAGCAGGAGAGATGACTCAGTGGTTAAGAACACTGGCTGCTCTTGCAGAGGAACTGGGTTCAGTTCCCACATGGCAGCTAACACCTGTCCTTAACTCTACCCTCTTCTGACCTCCAAGGCATTGCACACATGGGTACACTTACATACATGCATGCATGTAAAGCACTCATACACATAAAGAGAAATTTTTAAAAACTTAAAAAGTAAATAAAATGCTTTCTGTTCTTTTCCACTTTCATTCTTTCAGTATTTACTGAATATCTCTTGGGCTTAACGTGCTAGCTATGGAGACATTGGTCATGTTGAACATGACAGCTATCAGAGTTCTTGTCCTAACAGAGAAAGCAGACATTCAACTAATTATTAAAGTTAACACAACAGTGTTAAGCATAACAGAAAACGAAGACATTAAAAGAGTATGTAATAGAGTCCAGCCCAGACTTTCCTCTTTACTGAAAATCAAATGTCTTGCCCTTTTTCACTACAGAAACCTAATTACTTCTCTGTGTGTACCCCATTCTACAGCTATTCTGTGTCAAATGCCAGGTTTCCAGGTGGAGCTCTCAGATGTACCTCTGGGGAAGATAAAGAAATTAAAACTGGTGCAAAAGTAATGTTTTCTACCAGCTGTTCTTAAGAGTATCAATTTTTCTCTCCATCTCTTTGCTGTATTACAAAAGATGACGCCAGGGAATAAAAATCTCATTTGAGTGTTTTGACTACATATTTCATGGGAGGAGAGTGTTTTAATTCAGTAAGTTATAAAACATGTACTATCTGAAGACCACACAATAAGGATGCAATGACAGAAAGAAAAAAAAAAAAAAAGACCTCAGTGTTCAATTCACATTCCGACAAAAATGACCACACAGATTTCTTTCCTTTGGGCACTTCTGGATTCTAATATGAATGCAGTATTAAGAACTTTCTACTACAAGAAGGCTAAGTTTATAAATTTGTGTTCATTTTCCCCCCAAAGAAGCTACGTTGTAACTAAAATAACATGAACAAACTAGTGAACATTGGACACTTGCTAAATTGACCTTTGTTTTCCAGGATCATAGGAAATCTGTTGTCAGACACAGGAACTGAATCAGATAAAGGGAGAGGGAGGGGAAATACTCCAGAAAAATCACACTGAAAATTGTGATAAATTGACTTCTTAAAAACATAAACCTAGAGAAGACTGTAAGGAAAACAAGGTTCCCTAAACAAATAAAACAGCTATTTTATAAAAACTTACTCTAAAAGTCAGACTCCAGTAAGAAAATATTTTATGCGTCAATATTTACAATACAGAACAGATAACTAAAAGGAGGTGGAGCTGAAGGCACAAGTGTGGGTATCTGGGTTAATGGCTTTTTGAAATACAAAGTTGTAAAGCCCTGGCCAGAGTTATTAAGAAATCTCTGGAACTTCTTTCCAGTACAGTTTTAGAGCAAATCATCACCTCAGTTCAGAATGGTATGGCATACGACCGCCTGAAAGATGAAGACTGTACTATCCCACCTTCTAAGGCCCCTCGGTGTTGCTTTCTATTTCAGTTAAAGACAATTATGATTTTTTCAGATATTTGTCCATTTCACAAATGTTTACTGGGTACCTAGAAGGCAGTGTAGCACTAAGCTGTACTGGTCTGTAGGGCCATTTCATTCTACTGGACAGAAAACACTGAAGAATAATGTCATAAAGGAACGGAGAGCACCTTAATACACGGATAACAAAGATGAAAGATCTTTGAAAGAAAGCCCAATTTCAGGCTAAGGCGACTGGATGACCAAGAAGCGTCATTCACTGGTAGGGGAACTAAATTTGGATTAAAATTAACAACTAGTATTTCCGGGGAGGGGTGCCAGTGTCTCCTCAAACCCTCACAATCCACCATACACGGTAGAAACTTTTATTCCGTTTAAGACCCTAAAAGAGAGGCTGAGTGAGGTTTAATTGACCGCTCGCAGCGAAACGGAGAACCTGGCTTTAGAATCGGGTTTCTCAGCACTCTAAATCTAAAGCCCGCGCGCTCTTTGCACTCCCATAGCTCCTCTAGGGCACAAGTCTCTCAACCCGCAGCCCAGCCCGGGAGCCACGAGCTCTGGCGGAAAACGCCCCTTTCCTGGGAGAAGCTGCGTGCATCTGCAGCGAGGCCTGGGTAAGTCACTTCCCCTCCCCGAGACTCCGATGGCAAAGGACCAGCCCCATCGCTGCTGAAGTTGTGTGCAAGGAAGGCAGGTGGAAAGTTCATGCAAACGGAGACCGAGAAAAGGACACAGCAGAGAGCGGCGTCCTTCCACCGAGGGACTGAAAACTCAAAATAGTGACAGTAAGTGAAAAGAGAGAAGGAATTCTCTCACCCCACTCTGCGGGTACTCGGAGGGAAAGGCAACCTCCCGCAGCGTGCTGAGATGCGGCGGGCGGGCCTAGGATGCTCCCACGCTCCCCATCACGAGTACCCCTGGGCTCCCAGGACCCCAGCGCACAAACGCCCAGCAGCCCGCCGGGAAGCCACGCGGCAGGCACAAGGTGACACGGACCGCGCCGGCCCCTCCGCCGCCAGGGCGCGGCCGGGGCGAGGAGGGAGAGGGGGTGGCCGTCGGCTCGGCGCTACCTTGTACTTATCAAAGCCAGCCAACTGCTCCGGGCTCACGTAATCGTAGCCAGCCATGACGACCCGACAACCGAACGCCCACTCCGCAGCCGCAGCAATTCTGCGCGACCGGGCGGTGAAACACCAGCACCACACCGGGTTGGCCAGGACTGAAAGAGCCGGGGCTGGTTGAGAAGGTAGCGGAGTGCTCCGCCCACCGCGCACGCGTATCCCGCCCAGCGCGCAGGCGCATCCCCCGCCGCTCCCCGCCCACTCGGGGACGGGCACCGCCCCTCTCATGGCCCGCCCCCTAGCGCTGTGCTAATCCAATCGGCGCGATCCTGGCACCGCCAAGTCCCGCCTTCCAGCTCTCCGCGGCGCTTCATTTGCTAGAGTCAAAATTGGTGAGCTGAGGTAAGTCAAGAGGGAGGTGAAAGGTCAGCTTCCCAGTGGACTTTGCTCCAGTTTCCGCGCGGCCCCTTTGGTCAGAAGGTTGGTGTGGTGCTTGGGCACGAGTTCTGGGAGCAGAGCGGGGATTCTCGCCTGCGGAGGGGGAAAGGGAGGAGCCAGATCGTGCCGCGGCCGGTTTCCAGGTCCTGGTACCGTTCGCTGCACCCACCGGGCGAGCCGAGGCCCTGAGTAGGGCAGGCAGAGGAGCGGCGGGGCGAGGGAGGCTGCGCGCGGCCCCATCTAGGGGCGTGAGAGTGAAAAGACACCCGAGTCAACGTTGCTCGTGAACCTGGGACCGATGCGTTGCGAATTAACGATTGCCAAAGTCTTCCCCGACCCAGATGAAACAGTCCTCTCTCAGTCTCGACGGGGCCTTAAGTGCGTTAGTAATAGGTGTTTTTACACAACTGGAGCTCATTGTTGAAAGAACACCAAATCAGTGGTTAATGTGTATCTAGTAATAAAAAATTTCTAAGAATAAGTGCTACTTTTTTTATTGAGTGCCTTCTGTGCTGAGACCTTTTGCGTACGTTATCCCTGACTCATTAATAGCTTGCAAGGTATTTCCCACGTTGCAAATTAGGAAATGAAATGTTCAGACTATAAGGGTAGGGAGTGCGGTTTAGTGGTAGAATTCTAGCTTAACTATAAACAAGGCCTTGAGTTGTGTATCCCCAGTACCAGCAAAAAGAAATTCATGTTACATTACATGTCTGGAGTCACGTAGTTGGAAATGATCAGCCCAGCAAGAAATGTAATCTTGTTAGTGAGTCTGCCAGTCTGCTGGGTCCCAGAAACAAAGGCAATTATTTTGAAATCTTTTTATGTTCCTTAGATTCATTCACCTAGCAAATACTTATTGGGAGCCCATGATATGCCAAGCGCATTATTTCTGGCAGTATCTTCCTTTCTAAAGTCTAAGGTGTTTTGTCGTTTTTGAGACAGGGCCTCACTGTAGTCCAAGCTGCTAGGTAGCCCACATAGGCCTCCAGTGCATGACATTTCTGCCAGGTGTGACACGAACCTCCACACCTGGCTCTAAAGTACATGGTTCTTACAAGATAATGCATATAAAGCATCTGTTATCCCAAGATAAATCTTTGCTATGTATTCTAATATAAAAATGACAAAAAAGGAGTCATGCTATCAAATGCCTTTAAAAATGTATGGGCTGGAGAAATGGCTGAGCAGTTAAGAGCACCAGCTGAGCTGACATGGTGGTGTGCACACCTTTAATGAATCCCAGCACTCAGGAGACCAAGGCAGGAGGATCTCTATGAGATCAAGGCCAGTCTGGCAAGTTCCAGGCTACGAGGAGATCTTGTCTCAAAAAGACCAAAAAAAAAAAAAAGCACTGGCTGCTCTTGCAGAAGGACCTATGTTCAATCCCCCAACACCCACATAGCAGCCCGTACCTCCAGTTCCAGGGGACCCTGCACCCTGTTTTGGCTCTGCAGGCACTGGACACACATGGTACACTTACGTACATGCAGGCAAAACACTCTTAAAATACAAAGAAAAAATTTTAAAATAGTTTAATATATTTTTATTTATATGTATGTGTGTATACCTGCCTGAGTTCATATGCACCATGAGGAACTGGAGGAAGGTAAAAGGAGGTGTCACAGCCTCTAGAATTGGAGTTACAGGTGGTTGTAAGATACTATGTGGATCCTGAGAACCAAATTCCAGTCCTCTGCGCCGCAGCAAGTTCTCTTAACTGCTAAGTCATCTCTCCAGCGCCCCCCAAATGCTTTTTAATGTAAGTCCTTTGCTAATCTACTTGAAACGTAAAACATAAATGTCATAGTTAACATTTTTTAGTCAACTGTGGGAAGCTAATAATTCATAAATTGCATTTGTTAATCACTTCAGGAATAAACTCAAAGTGACTTTTTTTCTTTTTCTTTTTTTTTTTAACATCTCTTTTATTTGGTCTTTTTGAGACAGGGTCCCTGTAGCCCCAGCTGTCCTGGAACTCACTATGTAGACCAGGCTGGCCTTGAACTCACAGAGACGCCTGCCTCTGCCTCCCGAGTGCTGGGATTAAAGGCACGCGCCACCACGCCCAGCAGATATTTTTTATTTAAAAATAATTTTTCCAGGCGCTGGAGAGATGGCTCTGGTTAAGAGCACTAGCTGTTTTTGCAAAAGACCCAGATTTGAATCCCAGCACCCACATGGCAGCTAACAACCATCTGTAACTCCAGTTCCAGGATTCCTTTTCTGTCCTCCAAGGGCATTGCATGGCATGGGTGCCCTTACATACATGCAGGCAATACACTCATCCATATAAAATAAAAATAAATCCAAAAAATTTTCTTTTAATTTTTTTCCAGAGATGAGTGTGTTGGTGCACACTTGTAGTCCAGCTAGCTGGAGGCAAAGGTAGAATTGGCATTTTAGCCCTGGATGACCTTAAACTCAGAATCTTCTTGCCTCAAAACCAATTTAATAAAAAACAATTTCTGGAAAAAAAAAAAAAAAACTTTTAGTTGGGTATTGTAGCACATGCCTTTAATCCCAGCACTTAGGACACAGAGGCAAGTGGATCTCTGTGAGATGGAGGCCAGCCTAGGCTGTAGGGAAACACTATCTCAAATAAACAAACAAATAAACCAAGAACAACAACAAAAACAGGAAACAACCTTTAGTTTTGCAAAAACAGTCGCAGTTTGCCACCTCCCATTTTAGAAGGTTGTTACAACTTTGAGACAATTATAAATAAATCCTCCTGGGAATCTCTAAACAGAAACAATATAGAACTTTGTCTATACTTTGACATCTTTTACTTATTATGTGGTCCTCAACAAAGCTTAATTTTACCCCAATTCTCTATTTTTTAAATAATGTTATTTATTTGTTGGGGGCGTATACATGAGCCGTGGCATGTGTGTGAGTCCTAGGGACCAAACTGGTCATTAGTTTTGGTAGTGCCTTTACCCTCTAAGTCATCTCACCAGCCCCCTAGTTCCCCTTTTTTTAGGCAGAGTTTCACTGTATATCCCTGACTGGCCTGGAACTCACTATGTACACTAGCCTGGCCTTGAATTCACAGAGATCCACTTGCTTCTGCCTCCTTAGTGCTGGGATTAAAGGCATGTGCCACTGTGCTGGACCCTAGTCCTCTATTTTATTTTTTTCTAAATATTTTACTTATTATTTTTATTCTGTGTGCATGATAGTATTGTCTGTATGTGTTTAAGTGCACCTGTGTTGTGTCAGAAGCCGGTGTGCCAGGCATGGTGGTGCACACCTTTAATCTCAGCACTCAGAAGGCAAAGGCAGGCGGAGCTCTGTGAATTCGAGGCCAGCCTGGTCTACTGGGCGAGTTCCAGGCCAGCTGGGGCTACAGGGAAACCCTGTCTCAAAAAGACCAAAAAAAAAAGAAGAAAAAAAGAGAAGAGGGTGTTGGAGTCCCCTGGAACTGGAGTTAGATGGTTCTCAGCTGCCATGTGGGTGCTGGGAATTGAACCTGGATCCCCTGCAAGAGCAGCCAGTGCGCTTATCCACTGAGCCATCTCTCCAGCCCCAGTTCTCTATTTTAAATTATTTTATGTGTATGAGTGTATTGCCTGCATGTATGTGAGTGCACCTGTGTTGTGCAAAGCTGCCAGAGGTCAGAAGAGAGCTTCGGATTCCCCTGGAACTGGACTTAAGGATGGTTCGTAGCTGCCATGTGGGTGCTGGGAATTGAACCTGGGTCCTCTGCAAGAGCAGTCAGTGCTATTAACTGCTGAGCCATCTCCAGCCCCCTCCCAAGTTCTCTATTTTAAAAAGAAGGCATTAAAGTCTCTAGTTTTTTGTTTGGGGGGTTTGTTTTGTTTTGTTGGTTTTGGTCTTTTTGAGACAAGGTCTCCATGTAGCCCCAGCTGGCCTGGAACTTGCTATGTAAACCAAGCTGGCCTGGCTGGAACTCACAAGAAATCCACCTGCCTCTGCTTCTTAAATGCTGGGATTAAAAGCATGAGCCACCACACCCAATTTAAAGTCTCTAAAGTCTTATTCACCTATGCAATTCAATTAAAATATGTATTTAACTTCTCAGATTAAGTCAATTCATCCAGAAAAAGATGTCCTAACTTCAGTTATTTCACAGATCATGCAAAGTGATATTTTTTAATACATTTAAATGAAACCCTAATAAGTGTAAGATATAATTTTCCCAGAGTTCTATGAATTCTAGACTCAGGTGAGTGTACCAGGCAGGCACTTTGGCCTGGAAAGATAAAAGTGTCAAACAAATTGAAATGCTTTTACTGTCTTCTTTTTCCTGAATTTCATTCACAGAGGTTTTTATCCCCAAAACAGCATGAGGGCTGCTTCATATTGGCCTGGAAGTTTCCCTCTTTCTCTTCCCAGTGCACATAATGAACACAGCTTGTGTTGCCATGCTGCCCTTGTTTGCCTCCTCATCCATTGAACTTTATGGTAGACAAGCATCTTCTGCATCTCATACATTTATCATCTCTCATTTTACCCTCCAGAACAGTAATAATAAAAAGTATCAATTCATGCAAAAAAAAATAATAATATTGGACTAGAGAGATGGTTCAGTGGTTAAAAGCACTGGCTGCTCTTACGGAGGACCTGGATTCAGTTCCCAGCACCCACAAGGCAGCTAACAACTTTTTGTAACTCCAGTTCCAGGGGACTCAATGCCCTCTTCTGGCCCCTGCAGGCATTACATACACAGGTGCACTTTCATACACCCAGGTAAAACATACACATAAAATAAAATTTAAAAAAATAATAATAGGGCTGGAGAGATGGCTCAGTGGTTAAGA